GGGTTCTGCACTGTGCTGGCCCGGTCCATTTTCGTCTCAGGGCTGTTGGTGCTCTTGCCCCACATTGGGTGCCAAGGGCTGTCTATAAAGTATACCAAGAAATATGCCAGGAAGAAAGAAAAAGAGACGGGGAATTTGAAGAAGAGGAAAAGAAAGGTCACCATATTTCTTAAGAACACAGAATAGTTAACACATGTAGGTATTAAAGTAGTTACATGGGCTAAGGGAAAATTCACAAATAAATTAAAGGTTCTAACAATTCTAGCACGAATTAATGTGTTTATATAGAAGGGGAGGGATTGTAATATGTGATTTAGGTAATTTGTGCTTATGTAGAATATAATGGGAATATATGTTATAATGTTTGAAAGAAATATTCAAAAGTGTTTAAAATCCACATGCGGGATCCAAGGGATTGCCTCAGACTGCCGCATGCCATTACGAAACTGCAGATGGCAGTGAGGAGAGGCCTAATTTACAATTGAAAGAGCCTGGCTCTGGAGGAGATGAGTCTTTACTCAAGAGCCACCTGGGCAATCAATACGTGACAAGTGCCGAGATCAAGACAGCAGGAGCCATTGGAGAACTTGCATCCCAATGCCGGGTTCTGTAACTCAACATCAGCATTCATCGCTTGCTGGAACTACGTTGTCCAGTCCAATGCAGAGAAAGGAGACAACATGAATATGTTTACCTATGAAAAGAAGAAGGGAGACTCTGCCTTGGGCAAACTAAAGTGTATAAAAACCACCCGGACACACACACTGGCACGAACAGAGGGGGTACCAATGCGATAGAGGTCAGACCAGTGTTCACCCAGAGCCGAACCTGGGGTCGACGCTGTCCCTTTGATTGTGGCTATCGAGTGTTGTATTCCATTTTGTTTAAATGGTGTGCCCTGTCTCACCCCTCCGAAATGTATGGTATATTCTAAGCCTGTGGTCCTGCCCTGAACTATCCTGTACCTGTAATCCCATTGGCCCAATGTGATTCCGCGCCCACTTCAATTCCCCTCTTAAGCTGTGCTAGGAGATCAGTCGCGCTCTTAGCCCTTCCTCTCTCTCAGCCTCTTCCCCTCCTCTTGTCCCTTCCCTCCCCTCGGCTCCCCCTCCTTTCCCCTTCCCCCCTTTTCCCTCAGTAACCATGCGGTTCCCGGGGTTGGGATCCCAAATAAACCTTCATCTGATCAGCACCCTCAGAAGCCGTGTGGAGTCTCCTTGCCTGCCCGCTGCTGCCAGCCAACTCACAGCCTAGGGGGCCCTCCGGGGAAACCCCGGGGTGCCCCCACCTTAAAACGAACCGCAACAATCGAGACTGTATATCGGTCATGAAATAAATTATATTTATATTAATTATTAAATTGGCTTTATTGATTTTTACCTATAACAATCCCAAACCACTGAAACAAAGGAGTTCCTCCTATCCGTCTGGCCAGATTGGATTCTCAGACTCAAACTACCCCTATTATAATTACAAACACAACCACTGTACCTAAAACCACAAGTAAACCCTTATCAAAGGCTCCCAACAAACCAGTTTTACTACTTCACACTCAACGTGTGCTACACTTTGACACAGGATAGCAGTGTTGCCTCAAAAAAAAAAACCACCACAGCTCCAAACACGATTACAACATCACAATCTTATTATTCCCACAGGAAACACTACATACAATTTAACAATATACAAACACACTATACTAAAGCACTCTACTTCTATATTTCAAATTCCACAAACATAAACTCCTAAACAGCGAAGTGCCGCTCCTATAAGTTCTCAGAGTCTGAACCCTTTTAACGTGAACACCGGGTGTTAGAGTAAATTCTGTCCCCCGTAACCAAAACACACACACACACACGCACACGAGTCACATGGGGAGGGGATTTTATTAAGGATCATTTTCCCCTGGCCGTTTCAGTCTCCTGAGAACGGAACCGCAGGTCCAAACTCCCACTTGCGTTGTGCTAACAGAACGTCTCAACAAACACTCTCACAATCATTCTCACAGTCAGGACATATTCACAATAGCATAACAACTTTAGACCAGGATTTCCCTTATGACTGGTAGCCCCAGTTGCTACCAAACTGAGCCCTCTAAGGCAAAACAAATGGCAAAATCCCCTTCTGTCAGCAACAAAAGCCCGAGCTCGGTACAACAGTTCAACAACTCCTTCGGCTGACAACCAAATTTCAACTGCAATTTCCACTTGCAAGAACACTACAGAGGCACAAGTTGCACATGGAATGTCTCCCACGACCTTACAGGTCACTACTTAAAACTGTTTTAATTTTTAAACATACCGTTTTGTCTGGAGTTTTAGTACTCAGGAGTCCTTGTCTGCTGCTGGATGAACAGTCCGGGCAGCGGAGCCCACTCTTCCAGGAATATCCCGGGGTGCCCCGAGGGGTCCATGTCCTGATCTGGTCTCACAGCCGAGCAGAGTCTCTTCCTGGCTGGCTCACCAATTGAATCGTTAAAACCGAAAATAATGGACAAAGACTCTCTAACTAGTCAAAGTTAGAACGTGGTATGTTTATTACGCTGGTGGGTGGCATGGGGGGGGGTCGTCCTTGAAATGTGTGATGGCACCACACAGGGTTCTTTGCCTTCTATTTATTTCCCAAAATAATACATATGCATAACCTCAGCACCTCCTATCCCCACTTTGTATTAAAATTAGGTTATTAGTCCTTCATGCGTGTGCAATTCTTCTCTTGAATTGGGTTGGTGGTCTCGAATTGGGTCAGTGGTCCAAGGGATGAAGTCAGGAAAGTCTTCGTCATGTCTCTGTGACCCTCTGGCATGATCCAAGGCCCCCTGCTTCATGATGGATTGACATACAGTCCAGGTGCTGGGCATTGTTCTACTGGTTTCAATATGTTCCTATAATGGTTCACTTATTCCACTTCTTTCTACAAGTGAGCTCATAATATAACAATTAGCTTTAGCTTAAGCATCTAATAATCATTAACTATGGCTTTTTGCCCCTGTCATTGGGCCCCACAGGGGGGTCCCCTGATGGGGCAAACCCTCCTGTAACAGTTCTGTGCCAGGATAGAGAGATGCACAGGACTTTTTTGGTCTTCAGGTTGTTGCTTATTGTTATCTTATCAAAAGTTCTGGCACGCCGTCTACACCAGACTTAGCGCGCAGGAAAGCACCGCAAAATGGCTACAAGATGTACAGTTTCAAGGTGTTTTAAAGTTGTTTCATCCAATTAACTCTTAAAACATGTTTTATTTCCACTTTTCTACCAATAACTCATCCCTTGTCTGTCCACATAACCTCTGCACTGCAGCTTTCCTCACCCAATCATTCTGTGCCACCAACACTAGAAAATGGAGTAGATGAAGAAGACGCCCGAGACAACACCCAAAATCCTTCATCTTGCTTCCTATCTACTTCCATACTAAAAAATCCTAAAACCTAAATTTCTCACCCTGTGACAAACTATACTATTCTCTATTATCTATTTCACACTCTGGTAGACTCTAGTCTACCCCGATGTCTTGGAAGCCCTCTCCATGGGCAAAGGTCAAAGGCAGTGCTTCTCTGGGGGTCAGGACCCCTCAGAGCAGGCAGAGAAATATTCTCTGTGCCCTGGGTTCCAACAATTAACATATCGTTGGTGTATCTAACTTCAGTATTAATTGGTTCTAACCCTCAGCTAAAATCTTAGTCCTTTCAAATCATGATTCATAATGTATAACCCTCCTTTTAAATTTTTAATTCTTATGGAATTTAGGGTTTTTCCCCATTGCTTCTTTCATCTTTCAATATCCAATTTCATTTATCATCCAACCTACAGTTTGTTTCTAAAGGCAAATATCTTTTTCCATTAATCAATCAGTGGAATCCTTCCCATTGTTTATTTTACCTCTCAGTGCTAGTTTTATCTACCAGCAGATCCACAGCTCGTTTTTAAAGACAAACCCGTCATTCCTCTCAGAGATGTCTTGTTGGTTCCTGGGGCAGGCATCAGCTTGTTAGGGGGAAACTTGCAGATGCAACTGGAAATGGGGGTTGTACCAGAAGAAAAAAGGGCTGTGGAGGTACTTTTAGAGATTAACTAGTTGTGTGTACAACTGGTACAGTCCAAAGTGTGTTAAGTCAGAGAAAAAAAAAGAGGGGAAAAATTAAAAAAGAAGAAAAAGAGAGGTTGAAAAAGAAAAAAAAAAAAGGTGGTTGACAGACTCTAAGATGCTGGAATGTGGAATAATGATAATTTGGTACTGGAGGAGGACAGGAGTTTGAATACAATTTCTGTATGAAGGGCAGGGAGGTGCCTTAACACATGGTTGTTTGGAGGTTGTTCAGTGCCAAACTGGGGTTTGGGAAGATCTAGCAGAACAAGCCCTCCTAGAAGGGGAAAGAAAATATGTTGATGGTTTGTCCAGATGCCTACAAAAGAAAAATGAATGATAAGAGCACCTGTGGACACCAGGTAAAAGGTTGCCAAGTTTAGGAGGTGTTTGGCCACTCTTGAGCAAGCGTCAAGGTCTCGGGGACTGTGGCAGGGGCTGATTTATAGGGGTGACCCAGCATGGCAAAAAGGCATTAAAAAAGGAGAAAGATCTCCTGCCCTATTTATTTCACTACTGTGGTGCGTTGTAGGTTTCCAGGAAAGAATGAGAAACTGACCCTATTTTTGCAATATGGGTCCACGGGTACAGGTGCGGTGTGACTGTAGGTGTGATACGGGATGATGGAAGGAGGGAGAAAGGAGACAGGCAGGAGGAGTGGTACGTACAGCGTTACTCTAAGAACAGCTCTTCCTCGCGCCCGGGCCTCAGCGAGGGGAACTACAACTCCCAAGAGCCTTTGCAACATCAAGCGCAGGAGGATTCACGCCTTAAGTGTGGTGGCAGCCTACGCGACATTGAGGGTGCTCTTCTGCGGGCGGGGGCGTAGCCATTGGCTGAACTACAACTTCTAGCAGCCCTTCACACATCTTGCGCGTGCGCACGGCCTTGGTCCGGCCGCACTTTGCCGTTGTCGCCGTAGGTGTGTGTGGAGGGGGGAAGGGAGCGAGCGAACGCGGCGGTGAGGAGGGGGGTGAGAGTTCAGAGTTCAACCGCCGTTGTCCCTGCTAGCTTGCACTCATGATTCCTATATGCCCGGTAGTTTCTTTCACCTATGGTAAGTAATGGCGCTCGATGTTTCTATGTCCGTGAGCGTGGGGGGAGGGGGGCGGCGGCGAGGGGAAGGAAATGCGGCCCGCGCGCGGGGCGGAGGAACGGTGGTCCTGAGGCGCCGTGTCTGACCTGGCGCTCGTGCGCACTTCTGTCTCTTGTCTGTCTGTCCCTTTCTCTCCCCGCCTCCTCCTGCCGGGCCTCCTGTCATGGCCCCGACCGCTGCCGCCTCTTGGTTATCTTCGCCACAGTGCCCAGCCGCCTGGGAGAAGATGCCAAAATGGCCACCGGCAACTACTTTGGATTCACCCATAGCGGGGCTGCTGCCCAGTATAGGTAACCACCGCGACCCCTCCCTCCCTCCCTCTGTCCTTTTCCGGAGTCACTTCCCTCTTCGCCTCCGGTTTCGTGTCCCTGATCGGGATTTCCCCGCCCCCTCGGGGTGAGTGCTCGGGACTGCTCCCATCCTCCGCCCCGTGTGGGGCCTGCTTCTGCAACCCGCTACTTCGCGATAGTTGTGCTTGGGACCCATCTGTTTATCTGCCTCTCCCGCAGGTGTTTTCTTATCCTGGTAAGGACCTCCCTGTATCCCCAGTGGTGTGAGGGTGGGGAGATGGAGCCGGACACCACGGAGGAGGCAGCATCAGATCCCAAGGCCCTTAAATTAAAATGGCCACTTAGAGTCAACAATGCCAACAAGTTACTGTCTGCTGCCCCCCGGACACTTCTCCTTCAGTGAAGATGGGGCTTGCTCCCCAAGTCTTTGCTTCCCCCTATGTCAGTGTGGGAGGATGGAATCCTTTTTAACACGTGTTAAAATTACACCAACCTAAACTATGGGATAGATAAGGGAAGAATAGAAACACCAGAAAATACAGGGGACTGTCCCATTCCACTGAAGCAATGTTATAAATAATGTATCAGAAAGTAGAGAAAGTGCTTTTGGAGACATGCTCCTTTTAAAAAGATTTCCTACTTGGGTATCTAAGATCAGGAGCAGGTCTTATAATGGAGCTTGGGGACCTGTAACCATATATTTTGTATAGGTATGTTGCCTTAAATTTTTGCATCTTTGTGCATCCAAATTGTGTCAGACTGTTGAAAAGTAATTGGTAGCATCTATTATCTCACTTTTTCAGAAATCAAATTACTTAATTTGGCAAAACTCAAATACAATCATGAACATCATCACATTTTTGGCTTGTGTTGGAGTACCACCTTGAAGTTCATATTTGAATTGTTGTTATTAGTTTCATGAATTTATAATAAAGGCCTTCCTTGACTCCTAAGTCTTAGTTAATGGGAAAATAGTAGGATAAAGCAAATATATGAAATATGAGGGATGAAATATGAGGGATTATTGGCAAATGAATGCAGATGTGTGCTACTGTTATCTAATCAAAATTGCATACCTGACATAGTCTCAGGAATATACAGTTTTATGTGGGTCTTGGAATGACTCCCAAGTGATTATTTTCTGGAAATGGATATAAAATAAATTCATTTTCATTTACTCCAATGTATAATAGTTAAAGGAGAGGATTAAACTTAGCTAATCTTTTTGTTCTTTTTTTTTTGATTAGGTCCTCACAGTATGTTTATGTTTTACTTGACAGTTGTGAAATTTGAAACTGGGTTGTCACGGGGTATGAAGGAGTTTTTAAATAACATAGAGGATTTTTTTGGTAAATAAATAAATATTTGAGTGAATAATAAACTGAGATCCATATATAAATGCAATTTTAAAGTGGAGATTAATTTTTAAAAATTGTTATTCCTTTTATTGTGCAGCTGAGGTGGTCTGTAGACTTAAGAACCTGAACAACTAATTTGAAATTTCCTTAAAACCATATAATTGGAATACAGTTCAGATTCAAAACTGTTTTCATAGTTAATCCTAAATGTATTCTTGAGAAAATGGAAAGACTGATTGATTGAAAGCTTTTTCTTTTGCTATCAAAAGTACAAGATACTATTCCATTTATGTATCAGTAAAAGACTCTATCCTATAAATGGTTTGTATATTTGCCATGTCTGAAAGTGAAGAGACAAAGCAATCAGTGTTAAAGCAGTCCTTTCATAAGAATGAATTTAATATTTTTTAACAGAAAACACAGGAGTCAATGTCTAAAAGGGGGTTTATCTTAATGTAATGACATCATGATTTAATGAGAGAAGCATTAGATTATGCAAATACCAATACAGAAAATTTTTCTGAATATTGCAATATCTTTGTGCTAGTAGTGGTATTGGGTCTAGGGTTATAAACCTGCATGCAATGCAAAACTCTGTTACTTACTTAAGTAACTATTAATCCATTTATTTACAAGCTTGAAATAAATGTGAAATTTGGTGATACTAGTCCTCTTTATTTTGTATGTGCGTGTGTGCATTCTGTAGGCCACCTTAACCACTGTGTGTCTATTCAGTTTGACATGAACAACCTAATATTGGTTTGTTTTTCATGTGTAAAAATAGTAGCATTCTTGATTCACTGCTGGAGAAGAGGCATAATTATGCTTTTATTTTGAAGTTGACTGACTGAAATGTGGGGATGCTGATGGAGAGATAGGGACATTGAGACTTGTTTGGACAGAAAAGTGTGCAAATGTGATGGTCTCTATCTTGTTTCAAGATTTTGGTTCCTGTTAAGAAGATAAAGAACCTTTGAGCATCTGAGTCTCATCTTACTTATGTTCATACCATGTACCTACTCTAATGAGATGGGTCACAGATGCGATATTCTTGGGTAGTTAGGAGTGAATTGTTAACTTTGAATTGCTAAGTGTGGTGAGTCTTGGCAGGTAAAGGCAATTAATTGTAGTAAATAGGGTCCAGAGCCAATCACAATGCCTGTGAGTTTAGATTAAGATGCAGTTTTCTAGGTAGCCATATGGAAGTGAACTCTTGCAATTATAGCTAGTTTTCTATTTGAGTGCAATGTATGATGTTATTGGATATTCGAGACTTGTACAGAAGTATTATGACTTGCCCTAGAAGGCAAGGGTAACCTAGCTTCTTGTTAATCCCTTGGGGTGGATTAGAGTGAAATGACACTGATTGATGTTTGTAAATATATACATATAGGGTTTATTTTAGAACAATTTGGTTGCAATGGAAAGTAGGTATGTAGCCATTTGGGTTATTATTATCTATAGTAATATAGCAATATAAAAGCATGAAAATATCATTTAAGAAAATGTATAAGGGAAAAGAAAGAAAGGATAAGAGTAAGGGAACATATCACTACCCATGGATCCGCAATGAGATGATGCAATTTCGATGTCCGTTGGTCACAGTAGTGATCACTGTCTTTATCCATTGGGGGTGGGGAAAAAAACCTCGAAACACAAAGTCCAGTGGGTTAAAATATGCTCAGGCTGTGTGGGAATGCCCAGGTACCTCCCCTGGGGGGGAGCTTTCAGTCTTCTGGTGGAAGGCCTCAGAAATTAGTCTGGGGGCACTTTGGGGGTCTTTGATGGTTTATGACACCTTCTAAGACATGACATCTGCCTCTCACATCAGCACAGTTGAGCCAGTTACGCCCCATCAGACCTGGAGTCTTGTATCCAGTTCTGGGCTCCCCAGTGCAAGAGAGACATAGACATATTGGAAAGAGTCCAATGAAAGGCCACAAAGATGATGAAGGGGCTGGAGCCTCTCACCTATGGAGAAAGGCTGAGAGAGAGAGCTCGGACTGTTTAGCCAAGAGATAAGAAGGCTCAAGGGGGATCTCGTTAATGTATATAAATACCTAAAGGAAGAGTGCAAAGAGGACAGAGCCAGGCTCTTGTCAGTGGTGCCCAGTGAGAGAACCAGAGGCAATGGGCACAAACCAAAACACAGGAGGTTCCCTCTGAACATCAGAAAATGTTTTTTCAACTGTGAGGGTAACAGCACTGACACAGGTTGCCCAGTAACCTTCTGGAGTTCCTCCTTGAAGATGTTCAAATAGTAGTCTGGACATGGTCCTGGGCAACTGGCTCTTGGTGGCCCTGTTTGAACAGGATTGGACCCTCCAGATGTCTCTTTCAACATCAGCCATTCTTTGATTCTGTGATTTTGACAAGGAAAATGTTAGTGGTTGATAGTTTTCAAGCAGACATAACATCTAAAGCTCAGTTCTTTTTGTTATGCATTATCATTGTGAACATGGCTGTTATCTAGACTTGAATAACATCAGTGTTTTGATAATGAGCTGTCAATGGTGTGCAACCAAGTAAAGAGAAGTAGATGGATGAAGTCTGCAAGATTATGAGCCAGTGTGGCCCTTAATTCCACAGAAAATCAGATTGACACGGAATTGAAGATTAGTGTGGAGAAAAATACATGGTCACAGTTTGCTGCAATCAGCCTTATGTAGCAGGTTTATTATAGTGGTATTTCATATTATATGGAAATTTTTCTGATACTAATGTATCACAAACATCAGTATTTTCCATCACTAATGTCAGTAGAATTTAGTGTAGTTGTGTCCTACCAGTTGGGGGAGGGGCCACTTGAATCTGCTTTCTAGAGGGACCCTGGCACGGGCAGTTGCTTGGTGATGTCCTCTGGCTAGCCCTTACCTCCTGGCCCGTGCCAAGAGTGGCTGCCCCCTATCCGCCCCTCAGGTTGGTCTGGGTAGCAGTAGAGCAGGGCTGCCTAACTCCCAGAGGCAGCAAAGCTGCTCTGTGCGGCTGCTGATGGGAATCCCGAGTCGAGGAAGCCAGAACAAAGGAGACAAGAGGGGCCACTTGTATAAGTTCTCAAGAGGGTTTAATCTCCGAGAGGGTCCAGGGACAAGTGACAAGCTCCAACAGGGTAACAGCAACTTAGGAACAGGGGAGGGTACTAGGGGAGGATACATACCACAGGACCCCTTTGGAAGTTTCCTCCCAAATTTGCCCTAAACCAGGGCAAGTTGTTATTCAAAGATTTGAGTCAAAGGTGTTTTTAAAAAGCCCAAACTTGTCTCATGCACTGTAGTAAAATAATTCTATGTAAAGAATGAAGTCTCTTGATCCTTGAGGTTTTTTAGGTAAGATGTGAAAGATGAGAGGAAGCTAGGTATACATTGGGGTCTAAAACTTCTGAATAGAAGTGAGCTTATTTGGAAGGAGGAAGCAAAGAGCATGTCTCCCTGAAAATGTTGGGATAAATTAAACTAACACAATTATTTTAGTATTAAGGAGTAGGCATTACTTTATTCCAGGCCAGGTGCATAAGGAGATAGCTACACCTAGGTGCACACAACTTTGAAAACTTTTTACTTATGTATACATTATTAGTAAACAAATTAATGTTCATTGGTTCTAAATTACATAATTCTCATCATTAATTAGTATTCTGTCTTC